GGTCGTATTATACCTAAACTTTAACCACATCGATTTAAAAAAAAAAAAAAAAATAAATGGCCCAAATTCACTTTAAAAAATATATTTTCATTAAAAAAAAATATTTTTCTAACAAGCTTATTTCATCACAATTTTATACAAATTAAATAGGTAGCTTTAACTATTTAAGTTTATTTATTTTAAAAAAAAGCCCCAGAAATCCCGCATTAGCATTTTGTCCGTAACTGGCAGAATAGGACTCGTGATTGTTTGTCAACAAAGTAAGCTCATAACACCTATCAACAGGAAGAGTAACCACAATTTTTTAAGCACTTCCTAATCCTATTACTCATTTCTTTTGACTAATGAGCGAAGTTTAAAGTTTTTATTAGTGTTTTCTACACTACTACTATACCAAGATGAAGATATTATTCCTGATGTTGGCTCTGTGCTTTTCGCTGGCGCATAGTCGCCGTGTCAATGTTGCTGCTGGCCGTACTGTTAGAGCAGGAGGACTTGTTGGGGGTTATTCCTCTCAAAATCTTACTTTATTGACTGAGGAAGACAAAATACCCATCCAGGAAGCTGCCAACAAAGCGATTGAACTTATGAATCAAGTCAAGACCAGTAATGGAAATAATAACGCATTGCCACTTAGTCTGGTGGACATCATTGAAGTCAAGACTCAGGTACCACTAAGCCCTCCACTATTCTATGGAGTCTATATAATATATATATATATAGATCTATATTATATATATATATATATATATATATATATTAATATAGGCCTAATTAATATAGTTTATAATATAACCAGTGGTGTAGTTACAATGGTGCTGGTGGTGCCACCATACCAGGCCCCGAAGCTAATGGGGGGGGGGGGGGCGTCCATTAAATATGTAAGCAAAATGGGGGGGGGGGGTTGGAAATGTTTGACAATTGATGACGAGGGTGAGGGGGTAGATTAATGTAGATTAATTGACGTCAGCAATCATGTTTTGTCTATTAAAATTTTAATCTTAAAAATTGACTGTTATTACATTTAAACAAAATTATTGAGTGTAAATAGTCTTATAATTTGTAGGCTTTAGCAATATAGGATTTATTTTATGTTTGTCTGCAGATGGCTGGTCAGAATGTTAGCACACTTTATTAGTGCAAGAGAAGTCAAAAGTTGGCCTCTCTTCACCTGTAGATTCTGTTTGTTGCAAATGTCTGGGGCGGTATGTTTTCGATCATGTTGCAGGTATGGAACAAAGACAAGGTTCTAGCGCCATGTGCAGTCCAGATACATGATATTGATAAGTAGGAATTCGATATTTTGAGAATCAGGGGACAATAAAGTGAGTAACAATAACAACATTCGCCGCTTGAAAGGATTTGCAAAATCTGTAACATCTATTTTGCATCACAAGTTTTGTGGAAAAAGCGTGTTCAACAGCAGCGACAACGCCCTCTGGAGGATAAGAAATGATCACCTGCCCCGCAACAAAAAAGGATTCGACTAATGCGAGTAGCCGCCAGGAAACAGACAGAGCTTACGCCAATTGTTGCTCAAACTGAAAATGCTTCTATTTTAAGGGCTAAATGGTTAAGATGAGGATGATGTTGACTTGTCTAGTATATCAGTTTCGCAAGATGAAAATGATAAATCAGCTACTATGCCCATTATTACGATATAATAGCAACACCTGGCTATTACATGCCAATGGGAAGATGACGGCTAGTAACTATACTACAATTGTCAGGTATAGGCTACTTACAATAATCATATTTATATTTCCACAACTAATGATATTTAGTCTATAACAACCTTTAAATTGTTTCTGCATTATTACATTTAAGGGTAAAACTTTTTTACTAGTTAAGAAGCTAAAGATGTAATAAAATGTGTTCCTACAGTTTTATGTGTCATTCAGATAGATCAGCACAAAGTAAAATGTTTATATATCTTTATTTATATTATAATTCTTGGGAGTTGGAGGGGGGGGGTCATTAAAAGTTGACAGTTGTTAACACAAAAAAAGGGGGGGGGGTAAAAACGGCTGTAATGTCATTTGTGATAGTTTATTTGAGTTAAACTGAAGAAGTAAGTTTACAAACATATAGTCCATTCAATTATCTTTCATTTGATCCCTCATATTGTCTTATAAACCCAAAATAATATTTTAAATAGTTTTTTTTTATCCCGTATTCTAACTTCTGGTACCCGGGTGCGAATAGTCACGGTCGTATTATACCTAAACTTTAACCACATCGATTTAAAAAAAAAAAAAAAAAATAAATGGCCCAAATTCACTTTAAAAAATATATTTTCATTAAAAAAAAATATTTTTCTAACAAGCTTATTTCATCACAATTTTATACAAATTAAATAGGTAGCTTTAACTATTTAAGTTTATTTATTTTAAAAAAAAGCCCCAGAAATCCCGCATTAGCATTTTGTCCGTAACTGGCAGAATAGGACTCGTGATTGTTTGTCAACAAAGTAAGCTCATAACACCTATCAACAGGAAGAGTAACCACAATTTTTTAAGCACTTCCTAATCCTATTACTCATTTCTTTTGACTAATGAGCGAAGTTTAAAGTTTTTATTAGTGTTTTCTACACTACTACTATACCAAGATGAAGATATTATTCCTGATGTTGGCTCTGTGCTTTTCGCTGGCGCATAGTCGCCGTGTCAATGTTGCTGCTGGCCGTACTGTTAGAGCAGGAGGACTTGTTGGGGGTTATTCCTCTCAAAATCTTACTTTATTGACTGAGGAAGACAAAATACCCATCCAGGAAGCTGCCAACAAAGCGATTGAACTTATGAATCAAGTCAAGACCAGTAATGGAAATAATAACGCATTGCCACTTAGTCTGGTGGACATCATTGAAGTCAAGACTCAGGTACCACTAAGCCCTCCACTATTCTATGGAGTCTATATAATATATATATATATAGATCTATATTATATATATATATATATATATATATATTAATATAGGCCTAATTAATATAGTTTATAATATAACCAGTGGTGTAGTTACAATGGTGCTGGTGGTGCCACCATACCAGGCCCCGAAGCTAAAAGGGGCCAGAAAGAAAAATGGCTAATTACAAATTTGGAGATATCAGCCACTGACATCATTTGCAAGTTTATTAAAGTTGCAGTGAATTAGGGTTCAGGTTAGGTATATGGATACATTTAGGGTTCAGGTTAGGTATATGGATACATTTAGGGTTCAGGTTAGGTTTAGGGAAACATTTAGGACATGGGTCACGATAACCAAGATGGCGGCCGCCGGCTGATCTCTCCAAATTTACCAGAAAAATAATAAAGATACAAAAATTATCTCGCACCAGGGCCCACGCAACTCTAGCTACACCACTGAATATAACCCAAAGTTATTGCTGAAGGCAAAGTTCAATAGCACACAAAATCCCCAAATTCTCCAAAAGTGCATCAGACAGCGCACACATTTGGATTTAATTTTTGGTGTAACTTGTAATAAAGTGTGTAAAAGTGTATTAGATGAAACTTGATGTTTGGGCTTTCATTATTTTGAATATTTGAGAATAATTTTACCTTTTTAATTCAAATTTATGATTTTCTTAGCACAGTTTGTAACTTTAGCACAGAACACATGATTTTAGGGGTACCCTCTTATGTCACAGATTTCAGGTTTGAAGATGTTTGCTAAAGTTGGGGGGAAAAAATTTAGGGTTGAAGTTACGCTTGAGTTAGGGATAGTGATGTAGCATTCAGTGTAGGTAAATTTGTAGATTTTAGGTTTGAAGTTTAAAAAAAAAAATTAATTAAATTTGATTATTTCCTTGAGCCAATTTAACATTTTCAAGTTGTGGAATTTTATTCAATATTTATTGATGGTTTTTAAAAAATTGTTTTTAAGCAATGCAATAAAAAAAAACTCTTTATTTTATGTATTAAAAAAATTCTATTCTCTTGACATTGCTTATTTTCATTTCTCTCAGTTAGTCATTAAAACAATACTTTCTTTCCCTTTTATGTTTTGAAGCAAATATTTATAGAAGTCCCACGTATTTCCCTCCAAATTTATATGTAAAAAAAATCATGAACCTTTCATTATTCTAAAGGTAACTGACTCTTTTTGAATGGTCATTTTAAAAGAAAAAATTAAAATTTCAGTTCTAACAAATCTCCTCATGTCTGACTTGCACCTCTTAGACGTAACAAAATTATATTTTAAAACGTGAACAAACTTCCATTTGAACTAATCTCCCTGTTATGTAGGCGGCATGTTTACGTCATATTTCCCCATGCTGTGAACTCTAGCAGACCCCAAGTTCGGCTGCGCTATTATTAGGGTGTGGCTTACTTATATTAGTCTCCCTTTGACCTCAGCTACAATTAACAAATCTATGGCCTGTTTCATGATTCGAATATTGTAAAATATTGTAGAAGGTTTGAGACACGATTACAATGTGTATTCTGTTCTCGAAGGGTCTAAAGAAATAGGCTATACAGGTATATAAAGCCGAGGAATTGAACGACAGATGAGTTATTTTGAACGTGTGCTATTTTTGCTAGAGAACTTTGTTTACTGTGTGTGTGTTTAGATTTCTTTCCATCAGTGTACCTTTTTTGCGCATTGTTTTCTTCAACATTGTATTTTCTTCTACACTGTACCGGTATAAGCCAATAATTATTCTGTAAGTCAGTAGCTTTAATTATATTTCTTTTTAATTTTCTAGTTTATAATTAACTTAATTAAACTTATTAATTGTAATTAGCCCTGCTTTGAGTATCGTATTCTTTGTTATTGTATTAAACATTCGGTATCGTCTTTTGTTGTGTACTGTTTTAAAACGAGCCATACACCTCAATAAGAGATTGATTTCTCCTTATTGATAACAGTACGTAACACTCCCCATGTCCAACGTGCACCCCTAAGACTTATCAACCAAAAAAAAAATAATTCAACAAAATTTCTGTACCATCAAATTTCTATGATATCAAATTTCAGTTTGATAAAATTTACCAAATTTACCTTTGACCAAACTTCCGGCATCAGTTTTCCGTCAACCAAATTTATTTCGCACAAATTTCCTGGTGCGTTCCAAAATATGCACTTCAAGGCTGTAGAAAATTTAAATAATTTTTGAGAATACAAGACATCAAACCCAATTCAGTTACATATTTAAAAGTGGGATTTTTAGATGTTTAGGTGTTGCAATAGCAGGTAAACTTCCATTGTTACCCTGGTAACACCAGGTTATTTTTTCTAGTATTATAATACTGTGCTTATGATATGTACCTAACCTCTATATTTAAATATTAAAATAAAGTTATAAATTGTATCATAATTACACAACTGAATGAATTTTAAATGTAATTCACCATAAAGTAATTTACACCAATTAAAAATTATTTACCACATAATGATAATACATACATCCTATATTCGCTGCCTGTAACTGAATAAGTGCTTTTGAAACAATTCTAAGATGAAGAGTAGCGAGACTAAAGGAGACGCACATAGATTAGATTAGAATATTCTATTTTTATCTAAAATTAAATTCAGTTCTCATATAAATATTTTCTCCACAATACATCATGCTGATAATTGTTGAAGATTTGCAAACATATTTTTACGGCAGTAGATGCTTGAAAAATGCAGTTGTTGCATTATAATTAGTTGGGATGGCTATAAGGGGCCATCCATCAATGACACACCATTTTGGCAGATTTTGGACACCCATCCCCTCAAACGTCACACATAGCGACATCAGTCATCATGTGTTAATGGTCCTTGTAAAAAGATGAGTGAAGAGTGCACAGGACAATAATTGAAAACTCTTCAAAAACAACACCTTGAAAAGAAAGGCAACAAAAATGCATTTTGAGTAGTTTTAACACCAGTCTAGGACTCTACAATCAATTAGTTGTAAACAAAACAAAAACAAGGAAACTTAAGTTAGAATTGTTTTGAATGTTGCTAAAAAGCAATGCACATTGACTGTAGAGCCTTACCATAGCCATAACTGCGTTGCGGCACACAAATTTACACCCGCCCCCAACCCAACCTGAGAATCACAAGTCATTCTATTGTTTGAGGAAACTGAGAGGCTCATATTATTTTTGATGGACCTACATGCAAGGTGATTGGGTTTAGCCACAGCCATACTTTGTACAGGCTCTTTGTCTTTTGAGACATAAAATTTCAATTTTATCATATACTTTTTCTGCAGCATTAAAATGTATGCTCAGGGAAATGAAACCCAAAACTAATATGAGTAAAACTTTCTCTCTGTAATTGCCACCTTTCCTATATGTAGTTGCTAATTATTCTCTATAATTGTCACCTATGCTATATGTAGTTGCTAATTATTCTCTATAATTGTCACCCATGCTATATGTAGTTGCTAATTATTCTCTGTAATTGTCACCCATGCTATATGTAGTTGCTAATTATTCTCTGTAATTGTCACCTATGCTATATGTAGTTGCTAATTATTTTCTGTAATTGTCACCCATGCTATATGTAGTTGCTAATTATTCTCTGTAATTGTCACCCATGCTATATGTAGTTGCTAATTATTCTCTGTAATTGTCACCCATGCTATATGTAGTTGCTAATTATTCTCTGTAATTGTCACCCATGCTATATGTAGTTGCTAATTAGACTGATACTCTTTAGGTGAGTTGGAAAATTGCAAAATATTTTCATTGCAAAAATGTCCCAATGAGACACTGATACAATTTTTTTACAAGTTTAGATAAAATATCACAGTAATTTAGACTTTGTGAGGTTGTATTAAATGATATTTATTTATTAACCGACTATTTCTTTTGAAATCTTCAGATTGTTGCTGGCATAAACTATGCATTCAAGCTCAACATCATAATCGATGGTCAGGTCTGTACAGCTTTGAATGTGCTCTGTTAGCTTCATAATCTTTTTCCATGGCACATTTATTTTATTTTTGTGTTGTGACTATTCGCTTAAATAAAGTGATTAATATTTACAGACTCTCGCATAGAGAGGCAGACATTTATTGATGAACACGAGTCAAAAATAAAAATCAGATCACTGATTTTCTTTCTGCTCATGGTTCTAAAAGTTAATTTCTATGAAAACAAATCACAATCTAAGCAAGTTATCTTCAAGCTAGTAATTAAGTTAAAAATTGAAGTAGATTTTTGTTTCTTTAAACATGAAGTAAAGTTAATATTTATTTACAAATTGTACTCTCAGCCAAAAATCTGCATCCTGAAAGTATCCCATTTATACCCTTGGCTGAATGGAGGACAATGGTATGTTTATTTGGATAATCCCGAGAATACCGTAGACCCCTGCGCTAGTTACATACCAAATGCAAGGAAACGCAGGTCAGCACCTCTTCTTGGGGGAGTGCACGAAGCGGCTACTGACGATAAAGCAATTCAGGAGGCTGCTTTGTGGGCAATGGAGCACCTCAACAAAATGTCCAACTCCATGTTCCTGAAGGCCATGCGGAATATCATAAGTGCTACAAAACAGGTTGGCACATGGTATCTTTCAGCTCTCTTTAACGTTATGGGATTTTACAGCAGAACAGGGTTAATAAAATTTATTTTTGAAGACATAAAAACATGGGCTGGGCTTCAAATAAATAAATGTTAATGGTCTTTAAGAACTCTTATTCTATGCTTTACATTCCTTAAAACACATGCCATCACATTCCATGAAACACATGCCATCACATTCCATGAAACACATGCCATCACATTCCATGAAACACATGCCATCACATTCCATGAAACACATGCCATCACATTCCATGATACACATGCCATCACATTCCATGAAACACATGCCATCACATTCCTTGAAACACATGCCATCACATTCCATGAAAAACATGCCATCACATTCCTTGAAACACATGCCATCACATTCCTTGAAACACATGCCATCACATTCCATGAAAAACATGACATCACATTACTTGAAACACATGCCATCACATTCCATGAAATACATGCCATCACATTCCATGAAACACATGCCATCACATTCCATGAAAAACATGACATCACATTCCTTGAAACACATGCCATCACATTCCTTGAAACACATGCCATCACATTCCATGAAACACATGCCATCACATTCCATGAAACACATGCCATCACATTCCTTGATACACATGCCATCACAATCCATGAAACACATGCCATCACATTCCATGAAAAACATGACATCACATTCCTTGATACACATGCCATCACATTGCTTGAAACACATGCCATCACATTCCATGAAACGCATGTCATCAGATGTAACTAAAAATCTCTCCTCAAATAATACTGCAATGAGGTGCGCACTTCATGACAATGTTATTGTTTCAGGTCATTAATGGGTACCGCTACCGTCTGTCCATCTCTGTGGTTCCTACAAGCTGTCATAACAGCGAAGTAAATTCCAAGAAAACTCTCAAGGAATGTCCAGCCTCTAACGACGCCAAGGTACACATTTAAATTTAATCTAAGAGAATGTAGATTATCAAAATGACTTTTATTAAGTATCTCATCATTGTATCTAGGATGATATGAAACATACACAATCACCCTCAGTGACTTCTATTAAGTATCTCATCTTTGCAACTAGGATGATATGAAATGTACACAATCGACACAACAATGCTTGAGGTTAGGTCACATATGTGTTCACTTCAGCTACTAATACAAATGTTGACTGCCTCAGCTCTAGCCTCTTAAACTAATCTGACTACACATTCTACCTATACAACAAATACAGCGTCATGCACGAATTAATAACAGTATCTTTGCAACAATCTTCTAATAAGCCGCACCATATACCATATAATTAAAACCTACACCAAAAGTCACAATCAATGCCCAACCCTTCAGCACCATATTCTAGCCTCAACACTTTGGAATCAATAATGCCTATTACAGGATAAAATAAAAGTTTCAGCTATAAAGACTAATATCAAAGTGTGAAAGTAATTCAGGTTATATTTCTTTAGAAAATAAGATAAGATAAGAGAAGATTCCTTTATTGATCCAAATAAATGGAAATGTTTTTTGATTGCATTATACATCTTCAGCACATAAATAAAACAATTTGAGGACAAGACATTTATAATAAATTATCTCAAGCAGCCATTCAGTGAGTTCTCTTAGCCAAATCGGGGACTTATTAGTTCTCAAAGGGAGCACGGCGGTAAATTCGTACAGATTGGGGTAAAAACAAGTAAAAGAACTTGGACAAGAAGAAAGGTAGTAAGGTATATTAACTATTTGAAAAAAGACTTATTAGGAGTGCATACTTCAAAATTCATTAAAAAAAATAATATTTACTCTTTCTGTTTTCCATTTAGTCAGAAGCTTGTGATGTTACAGTGACCTCAACAGCAGGGAAATATGCCATGGAGAGCGTCAGTTGCAAGGCTGTAAGCATCAACATTTAACTAACAGTAGCATTGATCAAAATAAGAAATATCCTTTTTGTACATTCCCACAATTAATCTATGTCCTCTCTTTAACATTATGAGAAAAAAAACCCATTGAAATTTAAAATAAAGAGGGTTGGGAAGAGGAGACTGTTTAAAAATGTCTTTTTAAACATTTTTGATAGAAATGTTTGCTGTTTTTTTTGGTTCTTTTCCCAGACATTAATCTTCAGTAAACTCTGCGACCGTTTTGTTTTGAGAGCAAAAACTGCTGATTTAATATCATGCAAAGTTGCCTGCTGGTTTTCATTCTCAGAGGCTGCTTTATTACTCAGATTTATTCTTCTCTGACATTTGGACACCCCCCCCCCTCCCCCCCCCCTCCTCCTCCTTTGGGTGCTGGGCTGGTTAATCCATTACCCTGGGCTTAATCATAGAAGTAAACTTTTTGTAGTCATTAGCCTTTCAAATTTACCATTAGGGCTCCAAAAAAAAAAAATGATTCTTGCAACAGAAGACTATTTTAGAAATATATTTATTTAATAATCTCTATTTCCAGGAACCAGTTTTATTGGGTCAAAAGCTTGGAGGTGATGACCATGATTATAAGCCCCATGGAATGATTGGAGGTGGTGACCATGATTATAAGCCACATGGAATGATTGGAGGTGGTGACCATGATTATAAGCCACATGGGATGATTGGAGGTGGCGACCATGATTATAAGCCACATGGAATGGTTGGAGGGGGCGACCATGATTATAAGCCACATGGAATGGTTGGAGGGGGTGACCATGATTATAAGCCCCATGGAATGATTGGAGGTGATGATCATGACTACAAAATCCACACTGGCGATGCTGAAAATGCCATCCTTGGTAAAGATACACATGATTATCTGCCTCACAAAGATCAGAACATGGCCTCGGTCAACCTGAGAGATGCAATCCTTAATTTTGGAAGTGGCCAGCCTAACAATGCTGGGGATAGTGTACAGCAAATGAGCATACCAGTAGACAACTCTGAATGTGTGCAATACAAGACTGCTTTTGAGGACTTCAAAGCTAAATATCATCATCTTTACTCTTCTCAGAAAGGTTTGTACGAGGATTTTCAGCAAGTCAGTTAAGTTGCGAATTTTTATCAGTTGCAGCTTTATAGAAAGACTCCTAAAATCCTTAACAACTTTTTTTTTGTTGCTTCATAAGACCAAGAAAATGACAGTTCATAGGAAAATCATTTCCAGGTTGAGAAAGTAGTCAATAAATATTAGATTTAAATTGTAATTGTTTGATGAACTTGTAGACCATTTACTTAAAATTGAAAGGATACATTTCTTGATTTTAAAATGGGGTTGGTAATTTGAATTTTATTTTGAGTGACTATATTTGAACTTTGTAGAGGAAGATCATAGATTTCAAGTGTTCTGTGCAAATATGGAGAAAGTTAAAGTCATTCAGAAAGCTGAACAAGGCTCTGGCCAGTATGGTGCCACCAAATTCGCCGACATTTCTGGTAAGTTAAACCAGCATTGCATGGACATTTGAAAATGTAATTTTGCCATATGCAGTTTTAGGGCTTAGCAATAAAATTTGCAAGTTGCTTACAATTTTTATTTTAAAAAAAATTCATGCCCTTCATATGTGTTTCTTCTAATTTTTTAAGGACCTGAGTGACAAGAATTGGTTTTGAGAAGATGAAAAAAAGGGTGTGCATGCCATTACAACAAAAAGTAAAATGTGCAAATTTGGCAATTTTTGTGGAGAAGGTCGCTAGCCTCCTCCCCAGAATTTTGTTAATAAATTCAAACCTCAGGGATGCATTTTGGTGCATATCTGAATTTATTTCTGTATAATTTCTACACTGAATCGGAGACAATAGAAGAAATCTTCTATTTTTAGTTAAGATTTGAGACCCCTAATTAGAATTGAAATTTTTAAAAATCTGACCAAAATAGGGCTCTATATGCTATACTGGAGTGTACTGTCACAAAAAAAATAAAAAAATAAAGAAGAGTAAAGAAAATTAAATGAAGAATGAAGAAAGAAGTTTCTATACATCTGGCCAGCCGCAACATTTGAATTGAAAGAAGTGTTGTCTATGGGCATTGGTCCCTGTTGAGTGTGACAGACTCACTGTTGGGCTGACACTGCTAGGAACATATTTCTCATTACATGGCTGGTGTTATGTATGACCAACAAAACCTTTTCAGAAAAAGAAGAATTGCTTTAATGCTCATAAAGCTTCTTATTGCTAAGATAGTAGCATACTTTCATGCATCAATAAATTTTGATCTTGACTTTGAATTTTTAGAGGAGGAATTTAGAAAGTTTTACCTTGGCTTTAAACCCATCCAATCTGCTCGTAAGTGGCCAGCGGCTAAGATCCCCACAGACCCAATTCCTGATGCCTGGGACTGGCGTGACCATGGGGCAGTAACTCCAGTGAAAAATCAGGTAAATTTGTTTCGGACGAATACTATGTTTAACTCATTCCCTATGGCTGTGCTTAATATAGATAGATAGATATATTTGTTAATTTTTTTCAAACAAAGGGAAGTAACCCCATTTTGCAAAGGATTTACATTTGTGAAATATTAACAAATCAAGGATAATTTCAGCCAGAAATGGATAAGCTTTAACCCAGCAACTGTCAAAAGCAAACATGCTTTGGTGTAAACTCTGTTGTAGCAAACTAGATTTGTATTACTAAAAAACCTAAACTAATAGAGCATGAATCAAGTATAGATATTCTTATAGTAAATTGGACAAGTATTCATGAGCTATGAGTTTGGGAATCCTGTAATCTAGGTCAAATGAATATGACGACCTTTCAACAGTGTGTACAATTGTGCTACTGTTTATCTTTTTTCAACTCACACCCACACTGACTGTTAGGTCTTTTTTTTTTATCAAAATAAGTTTTTTTAGACACTTAATTAAGCATTATACTTAATAAAAAAAATTGTTTTTGACCTACATATTTCTTAATATAATGCCTATTAAATTTATTAGCACCCTATTTTCCAATTCTTTTGCTACTAGAACTCAAACTGTTATTAGAGCTAGGCCCACTATCGTCAACATCACTACAAAACTATCTTGAAAAGCACCTTCATAAAGAAATAATTCAAATACACTTGGCTTTAGTTTTTCAGGGCTAACTTTTGAGTCCTAAATGTTAGTTTAAAAAAAAATATAAAAATTTCAGCTTGATTAAAAAAAATGAACATGAAATAATCCCTTAGTTTTCTATAAATTGGAAGTAAATCAAATAATTTGTTATAGTAGTCCCCTTTTAAAAACACATAAATCCTCTGTAGTTATAATATTAATTTTAGTAGAGGCTGATTATAAGGGCCGTGACACAACAGAAGCAGTCATAACTGCCGATGATCTGCTATTATATATATTCATGGGTTAAGAAAAATATAACATAACAACAAAAATGTGCCTAAATCGAGCACCTGGTACAAATACATGCTAGATGTAGGCACATAATAAAGCACACACAGATTAAAAATGAAACAAAGTAAAAATTTCTTCAGTTTTATTTTATTGCAATCCCATTATAATCAGGCAATCACCAGAAGTCTCGAGAGATGATTGATTTCATTGCCATTTTAAAATACAAAAGTGAGAGGTGTCAGGACGTGTCGGCTTGCACTTGGACACATCCATTCGAACCACTCGAGGACACATTTAGTCGCAACTGTAGGGAATGGTTTAAATTGTTTGTATTGTGTTGAGAATAATTGTTCACTTTTGAGATGTACCATTTGAAAAGTTCTCAGAAAGGTAATGTAATGTTATAAAACAAAAATGATTCAAGTAAACTTATATTTGCAATCCAGGGCATGTGTGGCTCTTGTTGGGCTTTTTCAACCACTGGCAATATTGAAGGTCAGTGGGCCATCAACTCTGCATCACGGAAACTTCTCTCCCTCTCTGAGCAAGGTTTGTCATGATATTTTAATGTAAAAATATTTTTGTATGCCTACTTAACAATGACTTTAAAAAAATCCAGTCTCTGAAATAGATGTCAAAGATTTTTTAGGTCCCAAATAAAAAAAAAAATTGATTCCTATAAAAAAATCCATTCTTTGAAATAGATGTCAAAGATTTTACATGTCCCAAAGAAAAAAAATTCAAGCCTTTAAAAAACATATTTTCACCAGCACATGTGCCCCTGAACAAACCCATTAATTCATTGTTTACAAAGTAAATAGAGAAAGTACTAGCTTGGATCAAAGTCCAATAGTAGTTGGTGTGATCGTCTTGCTAACACATGATTCATAAACTGACTGAAACCCTACAAGGAAGTAGAATTTGATCAGAGTTCCATTTAATGAGCAATAATATTGTTTGTGTTTTAAGCATCCTTTAAAATGAAATGTATAGATTTGAACTTGCAATAGTGACATAATTATATCACCATTACTTATAAAACTAATAAACATATATCAAAATAGTAAATAATAAAACACAATTGGAATAATTAATGGTCTTAACTCCTATTGCTTCTATATTTTTTGCTTTATCAGTAAAAGATTTTTATTTCCTTGTTAATTTTATAAGAAAAATAAGATAATAATTAGGATGTCAAATTTTTTTCCCTGTTAGAACTGGTGGACTGTGATAAAGAGGATGAAGGTTGTAATGGTGGACTGCCATCCCAGGCTTATGATGCCATCATGAAACTTGGTAGGATTTTTTTATATTTAGTCTTATAATTCAAGCCATGAATTTGTCAGTTTTCGCCAGTCTTGCAGCCTTGTGGTAGGGCTTCCTTCTTGGCTGCCATTTTTTAAAGCCTAGTTTATTTGATGATTGGAGGCTTGTCTATTGATATTGTTTGGCAGAACTTAAGTCAAATCAATTCTTTACTTTATGATATTGTATTGTAATTTTAAAAAGATGTGAAAGATAAACATTTGTCTTTTAATTTGATTTCATCACTATGACATCATTTCCAGGTGGCATTGAGACAGAGAATGACTACACATACGAGGGTAAGGATGACAAATGCAAGTTTAACCAATCAGAAGTTGTCGTCAAACTCACTGGAGCTGTCAACATCAGTCAGGACGAAAATGGTAAAATTTCTTCATTGTTGGGATCACACATGTTACAACAATTTAATTAATTATAGACATTTTTTTGTTTTTATTCAAGTCGTGTTTTAATTATTTAAACACAAAATTAGTATCGGTGTCCTAGTGTTGCCCTCAGATGGCCCAATGACTATAAATGTTACATCTTTACCCTCAGATGGCCCAATGACTATAAATGTAACATCTTTGCCCCAAGATGGCCCAATGACTATCAATGTAACATCTTTGCCCTCAGATGGCCCAATGACTATCAATGTAACATCTTTGCCCTCAGATGGCCCAATGACTATCAGTGTAACATCTTTGCCCTCAGATGGCCCAATGACTATAAATGTAACATCTTTGCCCTCAGATGGCCCAATGACTATCAATGTAACATCTTTGCCCTCAGATGGCCCAATGACTATCAATGTAACATCTTTGCCCTCAGATGGCCCAATGACTATAAATGTAACATCTTTGCCCTCAGATGGCCCAATGACTATAAATGTAACATCTTTGCCCTCAGATGGCCCAATGACTATAAATGTAACATCTTTGCCCTAAGATGGCCCAATGACTATAAATGTAACATCTTTGCCCCAAGATGGCCCAATGACTATCAATGTAACATCTTTGCCCTCAGATGGCCCAATGACTATCAATGTAACATCTTGGCCCTCAGATGGCCCAATGACTATCAGTGTAACATCTTTGCCCTCAGATGGCGCAATGACTATAAATGTAACATCTTTGCCTTCAGATGGCCCAATGACTATCAATGTAACATCTTTGCCCTCAGATGGCCCAATGACTATCAATGTAACATCTTTGCCCTCAGATGGCCCAATGACTATAAATGTAACATCTTTGCCCTCAGATGGCCCAATGACTATCAATGTAACATCTTTGCTATATATTTTTTGACAGAAATGGCTGCCTGGTTGTACAAGAATGGTCCTATCTCCATTGGTATTAATGCCTTTGCCATGCAGGTAACATGTTGGCCCCATTAACGGTCTAATTTAACACAATACATATCATGTTATGGAGTGACCTATTTCTAGCTACCTATTGTGTTATTTAAGAAAAATTATAGTTTTTAATATTAATATATTAATCCTTCATTCCAGAGATTAATGCATGCTCATAATTGATTATGGAGTGTGGGTATTAATAAATATGCAGGTCCAGTTGTGCCTCCTTCAATCACATTAGAGCTAAAACTCAAATCTTAAAGGTTTTGAACAAGGCATAATTTATATATTTAATAAAAATGTGTGATTAGTATTAGTATATGTATTACTGTATTTCCTTCAGTTTTACATGGGTGGCATCTCTCATCCTTGGAAGTTATTCTGTAGCCACACAAGTCTTGACCATGGAGTGCTCATTGTTGGATATGGAAGTAAGTAAACTCTTGAAAGGATTGATTCCTGTGATTCTTTTTTTTTTTAAAAATGCATACCCCAACAGCTTTTTCTTGTAGCATGTATGATTAATTAAATCTTCATTTTATTAGTTAAGGTAACCCCAGGTTTCTAGCTTCCGTTTAAACAGGTTGATGACAGTGCAATGGTCAGTCTACTTTGTAAGGGGAAATTAAAGTATAAAATAAAAAACAAAATCTTATGTTAACCAGTGTGTAAAAAATATGTTTCTTTACCTTCTCCCATAAAATTATTTATCTCTATGTGTTCATGTTCACCTCTGTGTTCATGTTCACCTCTGTGTTCATGTTCACCTCTGAGTTCATGTTCACCTTTGTGAAGGGTTACCAACCCAATGACCTAAAATTTACGGCATTTTTTACGAACTGACAAATTTAAGTATCGATACATTTTAAAAAAAAATATTCATATTCTTTACACCTCTGTTCATGTTCACCTCTGTGTTCATGTTCACCTCTGTGTTCATGTTCACCTTTGTGTTCATGTTCACCTCTGTGTTCATGTTCACCTTTGTGTTCATGTTCACCTTTGTGTTCATGTTCACCTCTGTGTTCATGTTCACCTCTGTGTTCATGTTCACCTCTGTGTTCATGTTCACTTTTGTGTTCATGTTCACCTTTGTGTTCATGTTCACCTCTGTGTTCATGTTCACCTCTGTGTTCATGTTCATCTCTGTGTTCATGTTCACCTCTGAGTTCATGTTCACCTTTGTGAAGGGTTACCAACCCAATGACCTAAAATTTACGGCATTTTTTACGAACTGACAAATTTAAGTATCCATACATTTAAAAAAAAAAATATTCATATTCTTTACACCTCTGTGTTCATGTTCACCTCTGTGTTCATGTTCACCTCTGCGTTCATGTATGTTCACCTTTGTGTAGGGTTACCAACCCAATGACCTAAAATTGACGGCATTTTTTACGAACTGACAAATTTAAGTATCCATACATTTAAAAAAAAAAATATTCTGATTCTTTACACCTCTGTGTTCATGTTCACCTCTGTGTTCATGTTCACCTCTGTGTTCATGTTCACCTTTGTGTTCATGTTCACCTCTGTGTTCATGTTTACCTCTGTGTTCATGTTCACCTCTGTGTTCATGTTCTTCACCTCTGAGTTCATGTTCACCTTTGTGAAGGGTTACCAACCCAATGACCTAAAATTTACGGCATTTTTTACGAACTGACAAATTTAAGTATGGATACATTTAAAAAAAAAAATATTCATATTCTTTACAACTATGTTTCTATTGCTTTATTTTAATACATATGACAGTGTGGCATGAGCTTATTTTATAGCGTAGTGTATATTGTATTGTTATCTCATCCGTGTTGAATTTCTTCTGAGTATGATCATGCAGAACGAGTTTAAAGCAAGCAAGAAGAAATCACAAACCCTGCAATTTTGCATATTGTTTATCTTCTCTTCAAAAGATTTTTGTACGATGTCAAATTATTTTATGGACAGCTTAAAGTTTCTACGGACTTCTACTGACAGGTCACTTTAGGTCATCCCCAAACTGTCGTTAAATTTACTGCCGGTTGGCAACCCTGCCGCTGTGAAAGTTTTTTACGTTTTGTTTGTTTCCTCACATGCTGTTTATGTCCTCCACAGAGAAAGGCAATGAGCCATACTGGATTGTCAAAAACAGCTGGGGTGAACACTGGGGTGTCAAGGTCAGTTTTACTTTATGATAGATTCAATAAGTTGAGACAAAATTCTGTACACATGCCGTCCATTGATGAAGAGCACTTTTGAATTTTTCATAATTAGCTGTAATTAAAATGTTCTTGCTTTGCAATGTTATAATTAAAATGTTCTTGCTCTGCAATGTTATAATTAAAATGTTCTTGCTCTGCAATGTTATGATTAAAAAGAAACCTCTCATTCTTAAATGGGGACTAAATCTGATCCTGCTGGAAATCTACTCTTAACAATAATTGTTAATTTGAAGCTCATGGTTGAGCCTAGTGACTTGAACTGAGTGAAGCATGTTTGAATTTCATTTCTATTTCTATTGTAAAAACAATTAACCCAAAAAAAAACAAAACAAAAAAATGTAGTGCTCAAAGTCTTTCTGTTGAAACGGAAACGTTTACATATTTTGAAACATGTATTTGTTTTTAAAAATGTCATTAATGAATTCATTTTATTTGAATGCATGCTCTTATTTTGCAGGGTTACTACCTAGTGTACCGGGGTGATGGAACCTGTGGTCTCAACACCATGTGTACCTCAGCTACAGTCAATTAAAGGGCTGTAAACAAGTGTGCCATTTTTATTTTAGTTTTTTATTCCTGAGTTTTCCCCTTTTAATGTTTTATTTTTGTGCTCTCTTCGCTGCATCATCTCCACAAAAAGGCTTTTTATTTTATTTTACCTTTCTCAGATTTTATTGGATACAATGATGATTTAAATTTAAAATATCAACAATGTGATTTTTTTTTTTTTTCCTAATCTTTGTATCTAAGAACCCAATAATGATTGGATTAATCAACTTATCATGGGATCCTAATGCCTTCTCTATTGATGAGGGGTCCCAAAACCGTCTGGGCTGGGTTCCAGAAATATGAGTTCTTTTAACTTGAAAGATATTTTTTGGAAAAAGATTCTGATGCAAATATTTTTAAAAATATTATCTTCTTACTGCACTTGATGCTGGTAAGTCTTGAATTTAGTCATGGGAAGAAATGATGTGAAATTTTTAACACTATTTTTATTAGTCATATTTTGTACACTTTTTATAGCTACAGCTTAGCTTATAGATCATATTCCAAAGTTAGAAAGTTTGCTAGTTCCATAACTTTAGCATCCAGGGTTATTGAGATTCACTTGTCACTTTCTAGGTTTATTTGATTGTCATATACTTATAACTTTAAAAAAAAAAATTATTTGAACAAGCATAAAAGATTTTTATTGAGATAAGATATAATTTTTTTAATTTTTCTTAATGTAAAGGAATATTTTAGATTTAAATTTTGGAAAAAAAACAATCGGTGCCCTAGTTGTTGCTTACGTAACTGCACTGTACCTCTTCTTGCGCGCCAACAATCTTCTTACATCTATAAACTTGTACACATCTATAAACTTGTACATAAATAGTCTGCATTCCATTTGAGATTAATTTGTTACAAACCTAACCAATAAAAAATAACCAATGTGTGCTAGTCAGTTGCCAGGTTGCCAGGTTGTCAGCTTGTCAATTGTCATTACCAAGAAAAGAGTAAAAGAAAACAAACCTGAAAATTAGAAATTATGGAAAAATTCAAATGTCTTGGCTCACTCCATATTTATTGAAATCCCTCATTTTGAGCACTTTCAGGCTAATTCCAGTGTTTTTATTATACATGATTTGATCACTGCTTTCACAAGATTTTTCCTCTCTATTTTTACTTCAAATTACTGCATAAACTTCTCATGACTTAGTCATGGCAAGGATAGACACTAACAAGAAGTCAAGGTCTTTTTACATGTGTGAAATTTTACATTTTTGGATTTCAATTTTGTCAGTAGTGAAACTTTTTTTCCCATGTCTCTTAACATTGTATTTAACATTGGCTAAAAATGTGAGTGAATTAATTAAAGGAATTTAATGTGACCCTGAAAGCAATAAAAAAATTTATGTGACACCTTTTTATTATTTTGTGATTATTTCAAACTTATTTTCATTTGTATTTATTATGCGTGGATGACTTTGAAAGGTGATAAGGTCTCTAGCTTCCAAAGAGGTGCATGATGGTATACATTAAGTTAATATTCTTCTCAGGCAGGATGAGCGTAAGTCGACAAGTAATTGTTTTTTCTTTTGTAACCAAATAATTTTTTTTTCTTTTGTAACGGATGTAGCCTAACAGGGTTCATACATCTGGCAATGACCAGCTTCAGGAACAGTACAATTCTAAATGGGGTTAGTATCGAGACAGTTCCAAGACTTGATCTCTTACTCCGCCTTTAACCAAAAGTATTGTGGCCTGAAGGTCCATAAATTCAAAACTGGTGAAATCCTGTCTTACTTATCTCTCTACACGTGCAGTATGACCTCTGCCAATAATTTAAATCAGTTGTGGAGTCTGACGAGAGATCCTCTCATAGAATTTAAAAAAAAAAATGACTGACCCATTGTCCCCCTCACATTGAACAGCAGCAGTGACTTGGTGTGTGATTCATAAAGTCACCCACAACACGTTTATACCCTGTGTCGTGCTGGGGAGTTTGGTTTGAGAGTATGAACCAGAGACACACACACAAAAGGCAATACCAAAGTGATACTGTCGTCAAAGGGGGCGCTGCATTGACAAACCAGGCGTTATTGCGCAGCACCGGCAGTGGTGTTGGTGAACCAAAGAGTGGATTCTGAGATTACTCTGTACCTTCTAACAAACACTATTCTGTAATTTTTCTTATCATTAGTCTCGAAACTTTCAGATTACAATTAATATATATATAAGATATCGGTAAATTTATTATCCAGATAAATGGAATAAATAATAAAAAATAAATTTTTCATTCATCGTACATATTTCTTTACAGTCCTGAAAATCCTTGTTTAAGTTTTTCGTTGCTCTTCATAATTAGTCTGTAGCAAGACTTTTGTCCAATAATTGTGCGGCATGAACAACTGTTGAGTTACTGAGTGTGAGTTGTAATTTTGAACAGCGTCCTGACTTTTTGTTTGAACGGAGTTCTCCCCTTTTTTACCCCTCAAGATCATAGACTCTCCTTATGCCTGTTAGCGATTTCTCGTCGGAGGGTTGTTTTATGCCAGGAAAGATAATTATTAATGATAAACATTGAATGGAAGGACGCAAAAAGATACCAGGTAAACGTATCAGTCAACCTGCCACGTCTCAAGACATACGCTGAGCACCAGGGCCGTGTGAAGGGGGTTGACGTGGGCTCTATTTTACTCGTCCATTTCGTTGCGGTATTTTTTTTTTTTTCTATATATGAGGGGTGGCATTTTCAGAGTTCGCCCCAGGTGCCAATTTTATCTGGCACTACCCTCCTCACCAAATTTTATTTGATTCATTTTATTGTCAGTAGATTGTGATTTCTGAAGGGCTGGCTCTTTCAACTGGACACCAGGTCGATTAAGCAGAGCCAAACGCTCACTGAACACTGATTTCACCGCTGACAACCCCATAAACAATTACACCCGAAACAATAGCAAATGCTTCACTGAGCCTCGGTGTAACACAGTGCAGTATAAGCAATCATTCTTCCAACACACAATACTTGCTTGGAGCCACCTGGACAATTCCGCTGTGGACTCGACATCGGTCGAAAGCTTCAAGGCTGCCCTGGCATCTGCTTGGAGTTGTTAAAAGCACAGATGCCAGTATATGGATGCAGCAACGAACACTACGAGAACCAGAGTATAAAAAGTTGATCACATCACTGATCCTTGTGTTGACCACATCATTGATCCTTGTGTTGATCGCACCATTGATCCTTGTGTTGATCACACCATTGATCCTTGTGTTGATCGAGTGTTCATGAAAATTTAACTTAAGCTGTGTGAATGACGTAATGGATGAAGTAATGAATAAAGTAACGAACGAAGTAATGTGTGAAGTAATGAATGAAGTAACGAATGAAGTAATGAATGAAGTAATGAATGAAGTAACGATCGAAGTAATGTGTGAAGTAATGAATGAAGTAACCAATGAAGTAACGAATGAAATAATGAATGAAGTAATGAATGAAATAATGAATGAAGTAACGAATGAAGTAATGAGTGAAGTAATGAATGAAGTAATTTCTTCTTAATATGACCTCATAAGCTAACAACTGCAAAATAAAAGTCAAACCACTATAAACTGGTGTACGCCTTCTATGATCTGTGTTGGAAAGTGATCAACGATTAAAAAAAGAAAAATGAAACGACTCCCTGATGATAAACAGCCTTTCTGAAATTCCGCCCCACCATACAAAAAATAAGAAAGAGCCGCCCTGCGAGGACACCCCCCCCCCCTCAGCTGGGAGGGATTTGTCGCACGGTTTGACCAGATCAACGTAAGACCCCAGAAGGCACACCTCATCCCCACAGCCAGTGAACAAAGCCAGCGTGTGCACAGCATCCAGAAGGCTCACCTCATCCCCACAGCCAGTGAACAAAGCCAGCGTGTGCACAGCATCCAGAAGGCTCACCTCATCCCCACAGCCAGTGAACAAAGCCAGCGTGTGCACAGCATCCAGAAGGCTCACCTCATCCCCACAGCCAGTGAACAAAGCCAGCGTGTGCACAGCATCCAGAAGGCTCACCTCATCCCTACAGCCAGTGAACAAAGCCACCGTGTGCATAGCATCCAGAAGGCTCACCTCATCCCTACAGCCAGTGAACAAAGCCACCGTGTGCACAACATCCAGAAGGCTCACCTCATCCCCACAGCCAGTGAACAAAGCCAGCGTGTGCACAGCATCCAGAAGGCTCACCTCATCCCTACAGCCAATGAACAAAGCCACCGTGTGCATAGCATCCAGAAGGCTCACCTCATCCCTACAGCCAGTGAACAAAGCCACCGTGTGCATAGCACACAGAAGGCTCACCTCATCCCTACAGCCAGTGAACAAAGCCACCGTGTGCACAACATCCAGAAGGCTCACCTCATCCCTACAGCTCGTGAATAAAGCCACCGTGTGCACAGCACCCAGAAGGCACACCTCATCCCTACAACCAGTGAACAAAGCCACCGTGTGCACGTACCGGCCTTACAACACCGTATCTTCTGTGTTCATCGCCGCTCAAGGTCGGAGGGTACAGACCGTGGTTGAAGCGCCCCTGACTATCTGTTACTATAGTTGTTAAATCAGACCTAAAAAAAGCAACATCAAATACAAGCAACGTAATCTACTCTGTAGTTGATGACGCTATTTATTTTATCTGTGAAGCCCGCGTTGTCTGCTCTCCATGACCTCTTTAAGCCAACTCGAAGATAATGGTGAAAATAATGGTCGGCCTATCCGTCACGATTCTCTTCTCTCAGCAGACAAACACCAAATCGGTCATACAATGTTATAATTTCTGATGACCTACAAAATAATTGTAACGGCCAATGTGAAGTACTTCTTTTTGAATCAGTTTATTCACTAACCCCTTAGTTCGCTATCGTTAATTTTTTTTTTTTTTTTTTTAAATATCTAAGAAATTGGTCAATCTACGTAAATTGAAATTTACATTTTCTACACACCAAAATAATTCACAATTACAAAAAAAAAAAAATTAAAAAAAAAAAAATAATAATAAAAATGTTTTTAAAAAAAATTGAGGAGATAATTAAATCTGGTCCAAAATTAGTTTTACTACCACCCCATACCCCACCCCCCAAACAATAATACAGACATCCTTTCATTTGACAACATTTAATTCAGTTCATCGAACTAGTGTGACCAACTAACGCACATAGTCTGGTGAGGGTCTGAGATTACTCTCCTATGACCCCGACTACCAACTCTATCTGCTGAGCTGTGCCATGTAGCCTGTTAAAATCTTGTGCCGATGTATCAGTGCATATGTGACGCTAGACTCTGCTGCCTGCGACCTAACCCCCACCAAGGGTTTTGTCTGCTAGGAATCGGCAAGTTAGCCAATACACCTCTGGCTGTAATGTTTTCTGCCCACTGCTTGTGCCATCTGTTCGAAAATGGTCTGCCAACCAGTTTTCAATTCCCAGATATATTACTGAGTCTGGGCACCCACGGTTTTTCGCCAAAGTGTCTGCGTTTTCGTTGCCACTGACACTAACGTGCCACTGACACTAACGTGCCACTGACACTAACGTGCCACTGACACTAACGTGCCACTGACACTAACGTGCCACTGACACTAACGTGCCCCTGACACTAACGTGCCACTGACACTAACGTGCCACTGACACTAACGTGCCCCTGACACTAACGTGCCACTGACACTAACGTGCCACTGACACTAACGTGCCACTGACACTAACGTGCCACTGACACTAACGTGCCACTGACACTAACGTGCCTCTGTAATCCACTGCACTGTCACCGTTCAGCATAATTCACCGATTTTTCCCACGTCATCCATGATGGCGCCAACTAAGTGAGTAGTACCCGAACTAGTATGACGACAAACTGTCTATCTAAATTATTCTGTAGCCATAAGAATAATGAAATTAATTATGTGAAAAAACACAACAAAACAACAACTTCAGTTATGCTAGGCGTGAGTAGCCAGATACAACTTTCACTCAGCTGTAGTTTAGGTGTGGGTAGCCCAAGAACTCTAAGCCAGGTACAACTTCCACTCAGCTGTAGTCTAGGTGTGAGCAGCCCAAGAACTCTAAGCCAGGTACAACTTTCACTCAGCTGTAGTCTAGGTGTGAGCAGCCCAAGAACTCTAAGCCAGGTACAACTTTCACTCAGCTGTAGTCTAGGTGTGAGCAGCCGAAGAACTCTAAGCCAGGTACAACTTTCACTCAGCTGTAGTCTAGGTGTGAGCAGCCCAAGAACTCTAAGCCAGGTACAACTTTCACTCAGCTGTAGTCTAGGTGTGGGTAGCCCAAGAACTCTAAGCCAGGTACAACTTTCACTCAGCTGTAGTCTAGGTGTGAGCAGCCCAAGAACTCTAAGCCAGGTACAACTTTCAATCAGCTGTAGTCTAGGTGTGGG